GTGTGTGGAGAAAACCCCCGGCCGAAGCATCGCTGACGTTTTGTAACAGGAGTGGCTTGAAACGCCAAAGCACAGATCAGGCAGCGTCGGGAGTTATCTCCCTGCAGCTTGAAGATTTAACTTCTAAACGTGAAAGCCGCTCTGCATTTTCCAGCAACGGTCTACAACTTCACGCCTCCTTGATAATATCTCCTGCCTATTAAATGTATCTTAATTAATAGAAATACTAATAAATTAAGTTTTTAAAATATCTATGAATGAAAATATTAATAAAATATCTTAAGCCTCAGGAAAAGCAGAGGCTTCTCAGGAGATCAGAGAACCACCACTGGCCCCACACATGGACCAACGTGACTTCTGGGGAGGGGGCAAAGAGCCCCTGAGGAAGCTCTGGGAGAAGGAAAAGCTGAGTTGAGTAAGGAGCTTTAATAGACTGCAGCCTGGTAGATGTGTTCTGCACACCCTCGTGGTTTGCCAGGTGGGAGAGAAATGCGCAGAGATCTTCCGTTTCCGTGAGCAGGTAGGGTTGGAGGACGGCGCGTTGGGCTACGCATGTTTACAGATCTGAACCTGCTGCTCACTTCAACACACTCGGTCTGGAGGATGGGACCATCCTCTTCAACGTACAGAAGGTTATAATCAACATTTCTGTGTACTCTGATCTCCACCGTCTTGCTGAAGGGCAGCGGTGATGCTCTGATAGAGGCTTATCCGTGCACAGTCACCAGCAGAGGCATAGGAAAAGGGGAGAGGCCCTGGCATCGCGCCTCGCTTGCGACTATCGGTAGCCGACGGGCTTCAGCATTCAGAGACTACATCCACAATTTATTCTATTAATTTCCCTAATTATTTTCAACCTAGTTGACACTGCTGGCCTCCACGGCACCTTGCGGTAACGCGTGCGGCACCTTCTGTGCCGCGTGAAATGGACCTACTTTTGTTTGGTTTGAACCTGCCGTCCTCCGAAGGACAGGGCACGTTTTCTCGCAGAAACACAGCCTCGGTCCTAGAAAGGACTTGGAGTATGACCATCATTTAAATATTTAATAATATTTATATTCACAGGAGAATCACGGCAACATTTCAAGTTATCCAAGTATGTAAGCCAAATCAGGATGCTACTCAACTTTTCCTCACTGTTCAATGTTTAACCCACAGGAACCAGGTTGTGGGGTAAGAGCCGATCCAGTGTTGCTGTAGAAAGCTTCATCCTGCAAGTCAAGCCTTTGTTTTATCAGCAAGATAAGCTGAGACCCGCAGTGGTAAGCTCAGAAGCACAAGCATCGTCTCTGCATGGCTTTGCTGACTTGATTTTTGCCTGGGTGTACTGGTTTATAGCGATTTGGTGTAAAATGCCACAGGTGGCCTGCTTCTAACTAGTAACATAATCACAGCCATATGAAAGTAATGGCTTGCAATGAATAAAAGGTGGGACAAAAGCAGAAACAATAATTCTCCAATAATGTAAATTTGTCAATTCCAGTGCACAAAACACCTCTAGAGAGAAAATAACAATGGGGACATAAAACATGAGCGAGCTCACCAAGAAAGATCCCAAGCGTTTTAAAGAAGGCATCGTCCTATTACCGCTGGGATTTCCATCGGAGGAGGAAGGAGCACGGTCTTATGCATGGGCTGCATGCCTCTCTGCCTGCTTGCTTCTTGCTCTTTCGGTTTGGAGTCGGTGGTTCGACTGCAGTTTGCAAACGGGTACGTGAAGGAGGCTTCTACTGCTCCTTACTTCTGACAGATGCTCAACGGGGCCAACCTTCAAGGAGAGAGTAGGGCTTGTTTGGGCAACAGACTGAGAAAGCAAGCAACGGGCAAGTAGGTAGCCAAGCAAATGGAGGCAGAAAAAGAGAATTTATAGGTGGGACTTTTAATCTCCTATTATTATTTTTGGGGATGTGTGTATAAGGGCGGGGGGGAGCACAGAAGGGATGCTTCTGGTGGATGCGATCCAAAGGCTGGGGAAGACAACGAAGGTGACAAAATGCAAGAACGAAGGGGATGTGTCTGTGGACAACTAGTTGCCTTGAGCGCAGTAAGTCGGAGAGCAGAGCTGAGCTCTAGAAACAAGCTGGGAAGAGTTCAGGTGGGGGATCTTCACATACGGCCAGAGAGAGACGAAGTGCGAATGAGACAAACGATCTGAAGTTTGCAGAGACCTACTGAACAAGAGGACCTTTCAGGAGTGGTGTGACCATGAAAGGTCAGATCCCAAGAGCGACAGGGAGAAACACTGGCGACTGTGAAAGAAAAGCTGACAAAGGGGTTTGACGCGATGCAGACCAAGGAGAAACTGAAGACTGGGAATAACAAAGAGGAGGAGGACAGCTGGGTCCCTGGAAAGAAAAACTAAACTGAGAGAGGTCTGGGGTATAAAGGCGATGGGCAGAGAATACACCGGGCGGCAGGAGAGCACAAAACACAGAGCCATCTGCCAACAGAAGAATAAAAGGGAGACAATATGGATTTCAGACGGCATCAGGCCATTGAAGAGATACACGGCTGGGGTCACACTATTATGAAGAACTGGCAGGAGAAAAATCGGTCACCAGCTTGAAGTTTGTGAACTTGACTGGAGCTAGAGTGGATGGAGGAAGAAGACGGTGGATGGAAGATGATGGTCAAAGACGCAGTCAGATGAACTCCAGGTCTTCGGAGGAGGAGGGCAGGAGCACAGCTTGGCAGGCTGTGCTTCAAGGACCGTCACAGGTGGTTCAGTCGTAGGGAAGAATTCAGAAGGACTTTTCTTCTTTGCGCCATGTACTTTAGGGCATTGGTCTGCTAACATCACCGCTGGCATGACAGAGAAAGATACAGGCTAAGAAAGGAGATCAAAGGGAAGAAGTCTCAGAAAGCAAACAGCGGAGCTTAAAAAATAATCCAACTAGTTTTAAGAGCAAGATAGACAAATTAATGGACAGAAGGACAGGATGCAGTTGCCCGTGATAGCAGTACGCAGGACTCACTGACCTGGAGAAATCCCTTTCAGCCCTATGACTCACGCGAAAGACTGCAAGTACCTCAAAAAACGCCTCAGCATCACAGCTGAGAAAATTCTCCATTCCTCATGTTTCCTGTCAGTTTTCCCACTGCTTGTGCTAATGGGGTTCTACAAAAGCTGTTAGCGACTAGATCGCATGCACAAGTCTGGAAGAATACAAACGCAGCACCCAAAACAGACCCTTTGCCTTCTGAGCACGTGTCCTCAACCCAGATGGCCAAGTAACCCAAAGCACTTTTTTGTTCTGTTTTAAAACCCACATGATACTCGAGAAGTTTTATGGGCATTGGTATTGCCAGAGTGGAGGCAGACATGGTCAGAGAATGAAAGCCAACATCCCAGCTGAGGCCCCACTAGCTCCCTCTGCTCCCAGCCATATTTAGAGGCAATATCCTGGTAGAACATCCCTTCATCAGTTCTTTGGACCAGATTATTTCTTTTTCTACAAATTCAACATGGTATGCAAAGCAGCAGCAACACGAGCAATGCTCCCTATAGGAAATGAAATCGCGGGGTGCGGG